TAATAATAACAATAATAATAATAATAGTAATAATAATAAAACCCCAAGGAAATGAAATGTTGGGTTGGCGTCTAGCAGGGTTAAGTCTGCCTCATGGGGAGACGGGACCCTTCAGCCTTGGTTGACAGCCTATCTAGTGGTGGTACCACCATAAAACTCTGGTTGGTGGAAACCTTAATACACCGTCTTTATCTTTAGAATGAATACAAGAAAAAAAAAAAACATACCGCATCGCCCAACGCGCGGGTAACACTGGACTACAAGCAAAATGCTTCCGGAACAAAAGTAGTGATTTTTTTTCTTGGATTAGGTCACTAATAAAGAAAGAGTAAGACAGAAGTGCAGATTGGCTATAGTTTCCAAGATACAGCATTGGGTCAAAATAGGAAATTTATGCAAAATAAGGCAAAAACGATAGTTTATCAGAAGGTACAGTGTGTCTACAAGCAACCAGATCTATCTGAAAGCCTATCTGCACATTCCAATACACTCATTTTAATATGTCTAGAGCTTTGATATAAAATGTATTTGTTTTTGTTTTTTATTTGCAGAAATTTATCTCTTGAAAGTGGACAAAATGCATGCATGTAGAGTAATTTCATGAACGGTAGCAGAAATTGACTTTTGCATCACAAGTCGCATTTAAAAGCTTCTAAGATCACATTTGTCAGATATCTCTAGTGAACTGCATCATTTTTTTTTAATTCAGATAAGAGAGATGCCTGGAATACGTGTGAACATCCCAGATAACTTCTGTTACATTTGTGGTTAAGTGACGTTTGCATCACAAAAGCGCAACATAACTGCAGAGGTTAAAAAGGCATACCACCATTACTTTGGTTGCAAAGTTGGAGACCAGGACAAAGGTTGGGCTCCACATTATCGTTGTAACACATGTGCAACTAATCTCCGCCAGTGACTTAACAAGAAAAGAAAATCTATGCCCGAGAACCAACAGATCACAGTAGCAACTGTTACTTTTGTATGATTCCCCCAGTGGAGGACAGTGGAGTATCCAAATATTCCATCAGCTCTTCGCCCTGTACCTCATGGAGAAGAACTGCAATTCCACCAGAATCCTACACTCTGTACTCAGAAGAACTAGAAATAGAAAATAATACAATACGAGATGAGATAAGACCACCTCAAAAGGAAATATTTAATGATGATGAAAAGGTTGAGATCGAAAGAATGCGAGTTTAATTTTTTGAGGAGGTTGAAAAGGTTGAAGCATATTGAAATGGTATACAGAGAGCAGTTGCCCCCCCCCCCACACACACACACACATACTACCGAAAAAAGGACAAAACTAGGCAATGAAGCAATGAGACAAATCTCTGAAGCTAGTGAACCAGACATCACAGGACTCAGAAAGATCTTGTATGCGTCAGCTAAAATGTTCTAATAAAAAGAGAGGAAAGCGGACGAAAAGAAAGAAATCATCTTGAAAAGAAAAACAATAAAATGAAATAGAACAAATGAGAGGTGCAATATCTATTCTTAGCGAGCTTCAAAGAGGTGTAGAAGTTAAAGGCCGAACCTGTAGAAGGCTCAAAAGGAAATATAACCTGAATAGTCATAACATTCTGGAAACTAAAGACGCCATCAAGCAAAAAATCCAATTGAAAGCTCAAGGAGTCTGCAGGTTTGGGAAACAGTCAACATTTTTCAGGTAAAACCAGATTTTTAATCTGATGCTAAAAGTTGTATAAGGTAAAGAAACAATCACGTTAAAGATAGCCTAGGCATTGAAAAGATTGAAAGGTTTTGGAAAAAATGGAATAGTGATAAAACAAGCAACCTAGAAGCTGAATGGATTAAGAACTCCGAAGCTAAGAATGCCAACGTCCTAGAACAAACTTGGGATGACATTACAACTGAAGAGCTTAAAAATGCTCTCATAAAGGCACATAAATGGAAAACGCTTGGTGAAGGTAAAGTCAACAACTTCTGGCTGCATGTTCTTGAAGAATCCAACTTTCTTCTGGCAGAACATCTCTCCGAAATGCTTAGAGACACATTGAAAGCTGCGTGTCAGAGCGTGTTACATACTTACTACCAAAAACTTCAGACAATGAAAACCCTGAACAACTATAGACCAACAGAACTTATGAAATGTTAACATCTATTTTGACTGACCACATCTATTGCTTCTTTGACAGTAACAAATTGTTTCCTAGTGAATAGAAAGGATTCAGGAGAGGATCCTACGGTTGTAAAAACCAATTATTAATTAATAAAATGATCATTGAGAACTGCAAATCAAAACAGTATCTTAAGCATGTCTTGGGTTGATTATCGGAAGGCCCTCGATAGTGTGCCCCGTAATTGGACGCTGAAATCCCTTGATTCTTAGTTATTACCAACTTCCTGAAGTCAAATATGAGATTATGGAAAACAACTCTAGTTTTAACGTGATCAACTGAACAGTGTCTAATATGAGAAAATTAGATGCCAAGGTATGTAAGTTGATGACAGCTCATAAGATGCACCACCCGAAATCTGATGTTGACAGGCTTTATATTCCACGTAAGGACGGGGGTAGAGGCCTACTCAGCTAGAGCTCCCTTGCACAAACACTACTATCGGATTTGAAAAGTACTTAGACTCCTCTAATGACTGGATGTTACAACTAGTCAAACAATATGAAAATTTTAAAAAGAGCACAATCAGTTGTAAAAGAAAGCGAGAAGTATAAACGTGGACTACAAATTGAAATCAATACTGATGAACAGTTAAACTGCACCATACAAGCAAAACATGCGAAAGTAGCAACCAAGAAAGAAGGCCTCCACATTTTTTTGGGAAATTGGGAAAACAAGCCTCTCCACGACAAGTAATCCCCCCACCTATCCCGTACCAATATTGTTGATGTAGATTTACCCATCATTGGTTACGTGGTGCTAGGCTTAAAGCCAAAGCAGAAGGCTTTATCGTGGCAGCCAAGGATCAAAGCCTCTTCACAAGAAACTTCCAAGCAGAAATTCTCCACAATGGTGCAAATCCAAAATTTCGGCACTGTGATAAACACAAAGAGTCAATAGACCATCTTGTTTCTAACTCTCCTGTCCTCGCACCAATAGAATATACACGGCGATGATAGAGTAGGCCAATATACTCACTGGAAAGCCTGTCAACATTTTTAACTAACTTGGGCATTGAAATGTTACGAACACAAACCGCTGCCATTAGTAGAAATTGACAAGATTAATATCCCCTGGGATTTTACAGTCAACACTGACAGAACTATCCAGGCGAATAGGCCCGATATAATCATCAAGAACCATGAGAATAAGGCCTGCCTCATGACTAAAATGAGAGTACTAACAAATAAGAATTTTTATGCAAAGGAGTTCGACAAGCCATCAAAATCCAAAGAACTGCAAATTGAGATCGAGAGAATGTAGCATCTCAAAAACGACCGCAGTGCCAATAGTCACAGATGCTCTTGGACTAAATGAGAACGCGAAAGGCTATTCAGAGAAACTCCCTGGCGAACGTCCGCTAAAAGCACTGCACACCTCTTAAGAAAGGCTCATTCTATCTAAATCACTTTACGTTTTTTTCTTTTTTTCTTTTTTTTCTTTGTTTTTGATGTGATAGTGTCACACCTAATTGCCACAGGCGTCTGGGTGAAACCTGGTAGCATGATTGTAAATAACATCTAGTAGAAAGATAATATTAATATTAATGATAATAATAGCAATAATAATGATGACAAAAATAACAATAACAAATAACATTATATTAAGAAAAACAATAACTAATAAGAATAATTATAATAATGATAATAACAACTATAATGGTGATAACAATAATAACGACTGATGATGATGCGGCTATTTAGAACAAACAACAACACAATAACCCGAATTTCTCTACGGCATCATTAGCGTAAACGAGACACGCTCGTTCCATTAAATGGATAATGTTTCGATAAGGGTCCGATCTGTAAAAAGTAATCCATCTTGACGTTCTTGTGTCACGATATACATCAATTTAAACGGTTTCATAATCCTCTTGTAAGGTATCTGTAACTTTAGCAAAAATGCAGTGCCATGTGTATATTGCTAGGGCATGAACAAACTTTTATTCGAAAGCAATGTGTCATGTAAATATATATACCTTGAAGATTTAATATATATATACGTGTGTGTGTGTGTGTGTGTGTGTGTGTGTGTATGTGTGTAGCTATTTATTTATTCCTTTATCTATTTAATCATTTATTCTATAACTATACCTTGTTATTCCTGCACCTTTGGAAGAGAG